CGCTGGTCAGTTTCAGCAGCAGCTGACTTGGGGACGCCTGGGGCAGAGCAGCTGGGGTGCTGCCGGGTTAGTCCAGTAGCGCCCAGAGCGGCGCTACGGGACCAACCGGCAGCGCCCCAGCTGCTGTACCACAGGCGTCCAGAGCAAAGCCGCGGAGCACGGGGGCAGTGGGACAGCCCAGACGCGTCTGGGCTGTCCGCTGCCCACGTGCTCCGCCGCTTTGCTTCCTCTCCCTGGTCTGCTGGAGACCAGGGAGACGGGCCCTGTTTGTAACTGCGGATCCGACGTAAGTCGGATCCGTGTAACTCGGGGACTGCCTGTAAACCCAGGAAATGGAAAGAAGCTATAAGAAAAACACAAGAGACAAAACAAATGAAATTCAATAAGGACAAATGCAATGAACTACACTTGTGAAGGAACAACCAGTTGCACACATACAAAAATGGGAAATAGCTATGTAAGAAGGAGTACTATGAAAAGGAACCTAGGGGTCATAGTGGTCCGCAAGCTAAATATGAGTCAACAGCGTGACCGTGTTGTGGGATAGGGGAAGGAAACATTTTGGAATATATTAGCTGGAGTATTGCAAGGAGGAGATGAAAAGTAATTCTTCCACTCTACTTCATGCTGATTAGGCCTCAGCTGGAGTATTATGTCCATTTCTTGGTGCCACATTTCAGAAAAGATGGGGGCAAATTGGAGGAGGTCCAGAGAAGAGCAACAAAACTTACCTAAAGGTTTAGATAACATGGCCTATGAGGGAAGATAGGAAAAAGTGGGTTTGTTTAGTCTGAAAAGGAGGCGACCAAAGGGACAGACCAGCTTTTAAGTACCTAAATGGTGTTAATAGGAAAAGGAGAGAACATTATTCTCCTTAACCTCTGATGATAGGACAAGAGGCAATGGGCTGAAATTGCAGCAAGGGAGGTTTAAGTTGGATAATAGGAAAAACTATCCTAACTATCAGGATCCAGGTTAAGTACTGGAAAAAATTGCCTAGTGAAGTTGTGGAATCTCCATCATTGAAAATTTTTCAGAGCAAGTTAGTCAGGGATGGTCACGATGGTGCTTTACCCTACCAAGAGTGCAGGGGACGAGGCTTTGAGGTTCCTTTCAGTTATATAAATCTGTGAAATCTAGTTAATTAAAAAAGATTGTTAATGCTACAGCAAAGTATAGTACACACACCTTGTACAGATCATTGTTCTTAAATTACATGGCCATAACTTTGGGGTTTGTGACATCTCTGGCATTCTTCACTTAGGATTAGTTCTACTAATAGGTGTTCAGAGAAACTTTCAAGTTTTATTTCTTCATCTTCCAGATACTGTACAAATATTAATATCAGTAAAGTATTGATTGACATGGGAAGTCATGAAAACATGTTTTCTCCTCCCTTCTGTTATGGAACTTTGACATAGCAGCTGAAACACTTTTCGTGATAGTGGAAATGTAATTGTTTATGTAATGCACTTTAACTCTGTAACTAAGTGCTTAACTGCTGTGATAATGACTTGCACAGTGCCTATTAACAAAAGATATAGCTATACTTACTATTTTTAAACTGTACAAAATGTGCATCTAAAATCGCAAACAGTTAAAAGCAAGATTGCTATTTCATAACTAAAGTACAAAAATTCCTACTGCAGATTGAGGTGCACTGTAATTGGTAAAGCCATTCAGCAGTTCTCTTGCAGTTGTTTGCAAGTTTCTTTCTCTCTGGGGTTTCTTTTGGGTGAATTTAATATTGGCAAAAGATGATGGATTTAGAACTTGGGAGAATAAAAAAATACAACACAGGAAGTGGCAATGTGAGGTCCCATGTGCTGCCACATCAAATGTAACAACTCTGGCATTGGATGGTCCAGCTTGAAAGTTGTGTCTATGGTTCATTTAGTATCTCTATTAAAAGATCACCAGAAAGATAGTTAGGAAAGTTACCATATTGTCTAACAACTGATATTAGATTAATAATTCATTTTGTAGTTGATTGGCCATAATCTTATGGTAACAGCACCCCTGGGGCATCACTGATGGAGGTGAAAGTGTGTATTCCATTACCAGTGCCCACTATTCTTTAATGTTTATTTAGGGGATTAATAGAACCCATTTAAAGGGCAAGTGCTCCGATACAACTTTCAGTGTATTGATTTTCAGTATTTTACTCCTGTTATAGGACTCCTAGAATTCTTTCCTTTCATTCAAATCTGTAGTCAGTATGCTGAATCCTGATCTGCATCACCCCCGCTAGTCTGGTCAAGTGTGGTCTTAAGCATACTCAGTTTATAGTGGATGAAATGTATGGTAGTTTTAGGAGGATAAATGGGTCCTTTGAGATCCACAAACTCATTTCCCTTTTCAACCAATTCAGATTTTAAACCTATGTTTAAATATGCCATTGCCGATTGGAGTATTACATTTTAATCTTCTAGCCCCCAGAAAATATTAAGTAAGTGTGAATATTTATTTTGTTTTATCATGAAGATTTTGATGATTCCAAGGAATTTAGGAATGGAAAAGGATAAAAGGCAGACTTACTCTATAGTAAATGTTGCACGCTATAGACTAATTTCTAAGGGGTGGCTGTGTTAGTTTGTAACTTTAAAGATTAGTTGTTGTTTAACTGTAGACTAAGAATCTCTAACTGGCTTATGCCCCTCGCTGTCTTTTTCCATGCAGTTGGCTTGTTCTCAAAACTATTGGGAAATACCAAAAGTTATCCATAGAGTATGAGTATTAGCACTTATTTAAGTATGATTGAAATACCGTCATGGAAGTGTTCTGATGAGATTTTAGACTAAAGAAAACAATGAGTATTTGAATACATTCTGACTAGCCAAGGAAGCACAAAACATTTGAGACTGACATTATGAAATTATGTTGGAGACCAAAAACTAACATCCTTAAATTGAAGAGTTTGGTATGTTCCTGAGCCTATTGCCATAGGGCTTAGACAAAATTCTGCCCTGACTTTATATCTTGTGTATCAAAGGTAGTAGGGTGGCATGGATTGTAATGTCAAAATTTGACCTTGACACGCCATAGACTTGCAGCTTCAGATATTCTGGATGCCAAAAACCATTAAAATGCTCATATATTAAATTTATAGAAGATAAAATTGATCCGTTTAATTGTACAGAATTACAAAGTGACTGTAATATGCAGATTGGTGTTGAAAGATGTGATCCATTTCCCTTGCGCCCGTTCTTTCTTCTCCCCAGCTATTAAAGCAGGACTCCAAAATGTGTTTCCGTACATTCTTTAAAAAAATCAAGTTAAAGTGCAAGGTTTTGCTCATGATGAGCAAATGTTTTTTGCAGCTTAATGTGAAATTTCACAGCATTGAGCAAGCTGGCTCTGTAAATGTCTCTTTGTGTAGCTTTCAGTGCACTGAGATAGAGAAGGGCTGCACACTTGGTGCCTTGAGAGAGTCTGCCAGAATGTTTAAATGTCAATTGACACAAAAATAAAAAAGGGATTGTTGGAAATCTGAGGACAGGAATAAAATCTTCAGGAAGGACTGCATTTTTGTATTTGACCTGTAGACCATTAAAGGGATAACTTAATTGGAAGCATTTGTATTATCTTGCTGAGGATCTGTTTTGCCGAGTTAAAACTTGGGCTATATGAAGCTTTGTGGGTTTTATATATTTTTTTTCTGTTTATATTTGGGGCTCTGAAATTTAAAAAACACTTTATTTTGCTTTGGCACAAGTTTGTTTGCATTCTGTTTCACTTAAGATGTAAATACCTTTTAAAAATACTAAATTAAATATACAAAACTCAAAGGGAAGGAATAATTTATCTTCCTATGTTCATCTATAAAGGGACTTTTTTTCCTTGACAAGTTTACTCTGCTGTAGGAGCACATTCTAGCGCTATTTCTACATTTAAAAATGTGAATAAACGTATATAATCAGAGCAAATGGCTTCACTTATTTAGAATGGAACTGTTTGCAAAATTTTAAAAAAAATACATTCAAAGAAATGGAAATAGTTCTAGTATTAGGGATGTTAGATATTGTGTAATTGAATAGTCGAGTAACCACATGAAATCTTATCCATTACTTGATTATTCTATAGTCCCCAAGAACAGGGTCAGCAGCCAGTTTACTCTCAGGGAGCCCCCTGCCACCTTGCACTGCTGCTTCTGATATAGAGGCAGCATCCCCTGTCTGCGAGAGGTCCCAACTCCCCACAAACAGAGGCTGCTGAGGGTGGGGAGGGAGACTGTTGTGAAGCAATCTCTGTCCCCAGTGAGCCTGGCCTGCCACAGACAGAGGCTGGTCCGGCGGCAGCATCAGCAGCCCCTGTCTATGTTGGGTGGGGGAGCTTCCCGTGGACATAAGCTGCTCTGATTGGGGAGGGGAAGGGGAAGGAGAGATGCAAGTAGTCAAGAAGATTAACTGTGGAATTACACCAGGAATGAATATGGCTATTTAGTTCTAATATATAAATCGGTTTCTCCTGCCCTCACCATTATTTATTTTCTTAGATTTTGTCCTGTAGAACCAAATACTTTGTTTTTTCATACCTTTGCTGCTTCATGCTGTTACAAATATAAATCCCTCAGAAAGGGAAAATGAGATGGGAATGAACTCTTATTTAGACATGCATTTGAACTATCCAAGGGACTACAGAAGATACTGAGTCAAGGAATTCAACCCAGAGCCAGGCAGAAGTCAGTGGAAGAGTAACAAAATCAGTCAAATTTTAAGTTCCAATAGAGAAGTTCTCTTTTTTTTTTGTTTGTTGTTTTGTTTTTTTTTTTTTTTGCTTAATAGTGAGTGTGCCTGCTGCACTTGACTTTTGCCATTAGATGTTTTTGCATGAGAAACTGATTCAATCATAGCTGGGTGTGGATGGGCTGAACTTGTAAGAAAAGGATGGGGAAACACTAAAACAGGTATGCCCTCAGTATCTACTTCAGAAAAGATGATGACTGACTAATGATTACATGTGTCTCATTCTAGAATTTATTGACTTTGTGATATTAAATATGTGAAGACTGTTTCTTGTATGGTCTAAAAGTGTGCTGGGTACTTTTGAGCCATATCTACCTTGAAGAGCAATCTTGATAGAGGGCATACAAACATGGTGAGGGGGAAAGGTAACGGAAAGTAGTCTAAACCAGCTGTGAAGTTTTCACAAGTCTTGTTAGTTCTATGATTTTCTAGCTTTTTTTTAATTTAAACTAAGATGGGGGAGGAGAATTTAATTCTTGCAGTATGTTCAAGCATGAGGTCTATACAGTTGTGTGGAAGACTTTGGGGTTTTTTTTGCTTCCTCAGAAATTGTCATGTTGAGATGCTACTTTTTTTTTCTTGGATAAAAGGTGTATTTTCTCCTTTTTGTGGTACTTTAACTTGTACTGTAATAAACATTAACTTTTGGAGTTTGGTCTATTCATTTTACACAGAAGTCTACAAAGAGAGAAGAGCTCAGTGTGTGAACTGAAGTTATTTCAAGGAAATCTTCTATCCCTTTCATTGCATGTATTATATGCTACCCACTGACATTAAAGTAAAGCTGGAAAGAAATACAAAAGTGAAGAAAACAAGAAGTTTGGAATTGGATTTGGGGGATCTGGACTTGGAAATGCCTCAAGTAAGCTTAGTGTTTGTTTATAGTTTACTTCCCTGAACATATACACTTTACTTCATTTTTAAAAGTAAAGTTAATTTACAAGGTTATTTTCATCTAACAAGGGAACCTTGAGAAGAGGAGTATAAATTATAACAAATGAGATACTTTTCCCAATCTGCTTGAGTTAAAGCCAAGAGGCTGCGTAAAGTCAAAATTGTCCCCCTTCTGGGGTTGTATTTTGATTAATAATAAAGTAAACCTCAATGAACAAACAAAACTAAAGCTCAAGTCTTCTCCTCCAGTTTGACTGCTTTTAGAGTTGCTAAGTCTTGGCTCCTTCACCCATACCCTAGGTACTTTTTCTAAAGAATCACTTTTATTTTTCTTGTATGTGAACATACAAACCACCTTCATAGATAATAAAACACACTTACCGTTTTCTGGCAAGATTGTCACCTATTGGATTTTTAGGGAAACACCACCAAATTCTGATTTGTTAGTGTCATAATTAAGAAGTCTCTTGCCCAGTTCATTTCAAATTTTATAGAAGAAATTTTGACTTTTACCAGTCTGAGTCCAGTGTGATCTTTTTGTGGATTTTAGAGGAAGAGCAAAAATCAGGCTCACAACATTTGCAACCTAACTGTCATTGCTTCATTACATTGTTTCAGATTCTTTATTTTTAAACTAGCTGTTGAAGTTGACAGAGTATTATCCTGCCCAATGCTCGTGTGCACATATGTGATATAATTGATCAAGCTCTCTGACTTGTATCTCACTGTGACCTTCTCTTGAATATTATCCTGCTGTAGTACATACTTATCCTTGCTGCAAAAATTAGCATAGAAATGCTGGGACCCTTGTAAGGGCCGAACAGTGCTGTGGTTGGTCATGAGGTCTCTGTCATAAAACAGGATTCAGCAAAGTTGTATTTCTGCTGAGGGTAGGGTAGGTGTCTGGATCAGCTTTTTATTACTGCAGTGATTCACATACAAGCCAACTTTAGGTGAGATTGACTTTCACTAATGAAATGCTGTTTCCTCCCCAACCCTTCAAGACTAATGAGTGTGATGACAGGGAGGAAACAGTAAACTGGGAGTGAAAAATAAGGAACTAGGACAAAAAGCCCTTAGCCACTTTCTGTTTCTCTAGTTAGTAATCATAACCTAATTTCAAAATGTTTCTACACAAAGTTCCACCTATTCCCCCAGAAAAGATGCACATTTACAAATGAATTGCACAAATTTGGTAAAATCATCAATCTCTACTCAGGAGTGAAATAATTTAGATGTATTTTTAAAAGATTCCTGGATTGAAATAATGAGTGAGGGAAGGCAAGATTGAGACCCACCAGTGAAGCAGTGGATGAAAAACTTCAATAGTGCCCATTGACAAGAGTATTAACTAGAGTCAGCAGAATCAACACTTCTACAAGTGCTAAAATATTACTAAGATCCCCAAACTACTGAGAATTTCAAATCAACAGCAAAAAGGAATAAATGAGCAACTGTCTAGTAGCTACATGGTAAAAACAAATGTTAGTGTCTTGGGGGGGGGGGGGGGGAGGAAAGAATTGTATATATTTAACTGGCTGTTTGCTAATTCATTTACCTAAAAGTCTTTCAGATGTAAGTCTAGAACAAGTTCAAAGCCTATTAGAGCTAAATGACAAGCGCTGGGAAAATCTTATTTGTAACTTTTTTTATTTAAAAAATTACTAAGTGATCTCTTTATTCCATTGAAGTAAAGGAGTGTAAGGGTATGCATCTGATATTACATCTGTATTTATATAGTGTTTGTGGCTTTCTTAATGAAGTAAAACAATTTTGTTGTAGCCTAGCGTGAGTGGAATGGACCCTCCTTTTGGGGATGCCTTTCGGAGCCATACGTTTTCAGAACAGACATTGATGAGCACAGATCTCTTGGCGAATAGTTCAGATCCGGACTTCATGTATGAACTGGTAAGGTACCTTTGGTGGGTTGCACCTTCCTTTTTTCCTGTAAATGAGGGGCTGGTCTATAAGGAGCTATTCAGTGAAAGTCAGCTGTCTGACTTTTCACTTCTGCTTATTATTGGCTTAGTCCCCAACCACCAGGCCATCACTTAGGATTTTAACTTACAGGAGGTTAAGAGAGCCATCAGAAGAGGCTCTGGTATGCCTTATGTTCAGTAGCCTCAGATGGAGCAGAGAGGTAAATCTCTACTGGGGAATGTTATCTGCAGTCTCAAACAGTATAATCTTGCCTAGAAAAAACATTACATTCCCCCTCATTGAGGATGTTACACATGAACGGAACAAAATATAAACTTGTTTATGTTAAATTACTATTTTTTCCAGTGTTGGAGACCCATGAATTAGGACAGTAGATTGCTCATATTTATTGTTTGGCCAGAACAAGGTTTTTCAGGATTTGGATGTACATAGAGCATTTGTAATGGTACATAGAGCCCTTCTTTTCTTGATCGCTTGTATAAATGTGTCTCAACACCTAGCCTACTCCTACACGCTACCTCCCACCACCACCGAAGCCTAAAAGTAGTTTCCACTCTGATGGCTCTTTTATATGTGAAATGAATTGTTGGTCTTAGTCCAGTTCCCAATGGTCAGGTGTGCACAAAATACAAAAACCCATAACACAATTGGCTGGTACTCTTGTTGGCAATCCCAGAAAAGGGATTTATGAAAAAGCATGCTCACCTCTTTTCCATAAAACAGTGGTTCTCAAACTCTTTGGCCCACAGCCCACCCTACTCAACGTAGACCTTTCCGTAGAACACCAGCCAACCATCCATGATGACAAAATGGGTGTAGATGGGGGTGTGCGGTCTGGCCAGGAGGCTGGGCTGTAAGGTGAGGATCTGGCCAGGAGGTTGACCTGGCCAGAAGTAGGCTTGGGTGGTGGTGGGAGGTAGTGTGTAGGAGTGGGCTAGGTGTGCAGGGACTGGACATGAGGGATGGGGGTGCTTACCTGTGTCCACGCACCCCGTGGCTCCAAGGCACTGCCCCCCTGCTACTCCCATTGGTCATGATTCTGGCCAATGGGAGCAGCAGGGAAAGCCTTCAGGTGAGTGGCTTCCTGCATTGCTGTTCCCCCAGATGGGAGGAGAGGGGGACTGTAGTGCACAGAGCCGCTTCCTTCCCCCACAAGCCGGATCTGACCTATGAGGCTTGGGCCTTCCCCTGCAATAGGAAGCCAGTGCTAGCATTCCAAATTTGAGGGTGGGGGACCCAGGGCTGGAGCTCTAGCACAGGCTCCCCGCTGAGGTGAGGGCGTGAGCCTGAGCCTGCGACCCACCTTCAAGACAGTTGCAGAGCACTTGTGGGTACACAGACCACACTTTGAAAACCACTGTCCTAAAAAACATTCTTAAGTAACTGTTGCGCTAGTGCTATGTCTGGCAAACTTCAGCAGCACTGAGTGTTTGGTGGAGGAGGGGGAAGTTGTTTGGTTTTTGTAGCCCGGGGAAAGAAAGGGTAGTATTTTTCTAAAATGTGCCTTATTAACTACTTGTACTATGCACAGGACAGAGAAATGGACTATCAGCAGAGCTCCAGAGACAACTTCCTTTCTATGGAGGACTGCAAAGATATTGAAAATCTAGAGTCTTTTACAGACGTCCTGGATAATGAAGCTGCTTTCACTTCAAACTGGGAGCAGTGGGACACATACTGTGAAGACTTAACTAAGTACACCAAACTAACCAGCTGTGACATCTGGGGAACAAAAGAAGTGGATTACCTGGGTCTTGATGATTTCTCAAGTCCATACCAAGATGAGGAGGTGATAAGTAAAACTCCAACTCTGGCCCAGCTTAACAGTGAGGACTCTCAACCTGTGTCAGATTCACTTTATTACTCTGATTCACTCTTCAGTGTAAAACAAAACCCTTTAACTTCTCTGTTACCTGGGAAAAAAATTACAAATAGAGCAGCAGCCCCGGTGTGTTCCTCAAAGAACATTCAGGCTGAGGCTCCTTTGTCGGACTATGTTCAAAAGGCAAGCAAGCCCACTTCAAGCACACAAATCATGAAGACCAATGTGTATAATAATGAGAAGGTGAACAGTCATGTTGAATGTAAAGACTATGTTAAAAAGGCAAAGGTAAAGATCAGTCCATTACCACAAAGCAAACCAGTGTTGAGTCAGGCACATGCAGATGCAGCAAAGGAGAACACCTGCTATTGTGGAGCTGTAGCAAAGAGACAAGAGAGGAAAGGGATAGATTCCCTTCAGAGTCATTGTACTCCTATTTTGCCTTTTAAAGAGACTCAAGAGCTGCTCATCAGCCCACCCCAGGAAACTCCTGGGCTAGTTGTGGGAGAGAACAGCCTTTCTGCCAGCACATCTGTCTCAGATCCTTCACAGAAGAAAGAAGAGCACAATTATTCTCTTTTTGTCACAGACAGCTTGGGTGAGCAGCCAACCAAAGGAGATCCTGAAGAGGAAGAGGAGGATGAAGAAGATATTGAAGATGAGGACCATGATGAGGGGTTTGGCAGTGAACACGAACTGTCTGAAAATGACGATGAGGAAGAAGATTATGAGGAAGACAAAGATGATGACATCAGTGATACTTTCTCTGAACCAGGTTTGTTAAATGTTGTTGTATATTAGAAGCTGGAAACTCTGTATCTGCATAGCAGTTATTGGGGGAAATATGCTTTGGAATAATTTATAGATATAGATAGTAACATTTTACCTTTGCATAGTGCTTTCATCCAAGGATTTCAAATACAAAATGGAGTGTTATGAGGCTTCATGTTTGTAAGTATTCTGCCCACTTCACAAAGAAGGTCAAGGTCACAGTCACTAGTAAAACCAAGGAGAGAATGTAGAATAATATAGACTCGTAGTTTACTAAATACTATTGCATGTATCTATCTATCCCTTTCCTGAGCTGAGATGTATTGAGTCAATCAATTGATAGTGGGATTCACAGAGTCTTACAGGCATGCAATAGGTCATTTCATTAGGCTTATCTACAGAATTTTTATCCCTTAACGGTTGCCTGGATAGCCCATGTGAAATCCATTGATAGCCTCTCTAGAGCCTACTGGACAGTTGTTCATAATACACACATCAATCCTATATTTGTCCTGAATTGCCCCCTGTTGACAGAACATTAAATAGGACCATGGAGGCAGAACTCTTCTCTTCTCCTCTGCAAGTAAAAAACAAAGAACTAACTGATAAGTTTGATCACAAGGGTCCCCTTGGAACTGTCACCTGGTATTCTGGTCATGCCAGCTGAGCTCACATACTTGTTTTCGGTTGGACCAGAATCTCTGGTCTCCCCCAGCCAAGGCACAGAGTTGGGGGAACAGCTCCCCCTTTACCAAGTAAAAGAGAGAGGCACAGTGGTTGCTCCACCCAGGTAAATTATTTACACTGGACCTGATAATAAACAAAAATGTTTGTATTAAGTATAAAAAGTAGGATTTTAGTAATTGCCAGTGAAAACAGACAAATCAAAGTAAGTTATTAAGCCAAAACAAAATAAAACATGCCAATTAAGTCTAATACACTAAATGCAATTATTTCAAAGTATGTTCCTCACCACTTGTCCATTGATTCAGATAAAATCTTTCAAAACAAACTTGTTCTTTCTCTCTGGTCTGGGTCTACAGCTTTTCAGAGTTCTTTGTTTTCAGGTTTCTTCATGTATATCCTCTTACAGGGGAGAGGCAATTTCAAAAGCCAGCTGAAGACAAAAGATTGTTTTCCATTCCTTAAATAGACTTTTCCCCAGGGCTGGAACCCTTTGTTTTATTTCCCCATCCCCATGGAAAAATACCAGATTCAAGATGGATCCCAGCTATAAGTAGCTTGATCACATGTCTTTCTAGAAAAAAACAGTTTGGCTTGCAGGAAAAATGAACCATTTACAGATTATTACCTTGAGTAGAGAGCCATTATGTTTCTGGGTTATCAGTAATGGCTCACATATGCACATTTAGAATTATAAACAGATCCACACTTCATATTTCTAGCTTCACATATGAGTGATATGTGCACAGAAATAGAATATACCCATTGGCAGATCATAACTTTAACAATGATATGTTCTATGATGCATTTTTTTCTAAAGTGTCTTGGAGTTATGCATATTTATATTCATAAGCCAATTTTCATAAAGCATGGGGGGCATGACACTAAACCTTATCTGTAAGATGACAATGTAATAACTTTAAAGATAAAATACAAGCAGAGGCTTATAGCTAATGGGCTTAGTATTACTACAGTGTGCATTACGTTTTACACAGCTTTCTAACCTAGAATAGAGTGTCATGGATTATACAGACAATTGACAATATGTAACTTTGGGGAGGAAACTCTCAAAAGTCAGTTAAATTCCACTTCAGCTAGCAAGCTCAGTCAAGCATGATTGTAAGTAGAAGCCATGAGTAGATCTTGTATAAAACAATGTACTGGATATTCAGGGTGCTCTATATTACTTCTACATGTGCATTACGAGTCTTTATTAACATCTAAGCTGTCTCTCTTTGTTGCTTCTGTAGGGAATCCTCTCAGCTTACTCTTTTTTCAGAAGCTTGGAGTGGCTTCTGTTATGCTTTTGTGAGGTATGACTGGATTGCAGTACTGTAACTCCTGGTCCACTGTGCTGTATTAATAAATCTCCCCAAGTTTAATAATATGTAATGTTGAATTTTTTTTTTTAATTTCTGGAATTTCAGTTAGTGGCATTACATTAATTTTTTTTCTGACAAGCAATCCCTTCTACCTTCTATTAAACACTACTTTTCCTATATGCCTGAGTAGCGGTCTGGGCCCCAGAAGCTCCCTCAGCCCCAGCTGCTCCCAGGGCAGGTCCGCATGCTGGGACTGGAGCAGAGGCTGTCCCTGGTGCTATTTTTAGTACCACAGTGCCGGTCCCTGCAGGACTTCAGTACTAAAAATAGCACCATAGTCAGCCCCGCTCCAGTTTGAAATAAAGTGGCAGCCACACGAGGCCCATTCCAGCTGGGGCAGCGTCACCAGAACAACCTCACCTCATGCACCCTAGCTCCAGGCAGAGCAAAAGGGCAGCTGGCCTGCCACCAGGGACCCACTAGGTCTCCTGCTGTCGCCACCGCTCATCTTCCATTCCAGCAGGAAGGTGAGCAGTGAACGCTGCTGTGCAGCTCTTAAAATGACATGGGCAGACCTAACATTTTTAGTGCATGGCTGCACAGGCTCAAACCTTAGAGGGAACACCAGTCCCTAGGGGAGATAGGATTGGGCTGGGGCCTGACCCTGCCCTTTACCCTGCTCCACCTCTTCCTTCAAGCTCTGCCCTGCTCATTCCTGCCCCTTTGCCGAAGCGCCTCCCACAAGCACTGTAAGTTGGGAAATTACTGTGGGGCCCTGTTGCCCTCTTCCAGCCCACTGTGCTCCACTTCTCCGCATTGGCAGGGAGCGGAGTACCGTGGCACCAGGGTGCTCTGCTTCCTGCTACTGCAGTGAAGCTGAGTGTAGTGGGTCAGGAGAAGGTGGTAGAGTGGAGCAGCGCAGGCTGCTGAGTCACTCTGGCTCTCACTGCTGTGGTTAGTATAGGTGCGGGGGCAGACTTTTGCTGCTGTCCTGCTCTAGGCCCCCTCGGTAAGCCACCAAGGTGCCCTGGGACCAGTGTTCCCAGTAAGGAGAGATTCAAATGCCGCCCAGCTGATTAGTAGAAAGCCCACAAATACATTTATGTTTCTACTGGTATGCACATGCCTCAATACACATAGAAACAAACTTACTCCACACCCTCCTTTTCCTTGGCTTCAGAGTTTCCTAGGTGGGACTTTGTGGTGAAGAAATAATTGAGAATGGTTTGTCTATGCAATCCTAAATATCTTCAATTTGTGGCTGAAGGATGCTTAGGATGCATGCATGGGTCAAACAGCAGGGGCGGTGGGTATACTAGGTGAGGGAAAGCATTGGAATGGCTGCTAGGAATGGCCCTGCCCACACTCTGCTCCCAGAATGCCTACTGAGGGTGGAGTGCTGCTGCCCCTGAGTGCCTACCCTTCCCAGTCCTTTGGGGCTGTGCACCATCCTCTGTCCCTGGTGCTCCAGGGCCAGGGAGGCTAGGGCAATGGAACCTCCTCCCTGTGGTGTTGGGGGCTCCCATGTCAAACAGACATGGTTACCAAAAGTCTCCAACCAGAGATATATGGGATGCATGTACACTTAAAGTGGAGCAGATGAAGCACTTCAGTTACTGCACAAGGTGAGTAACCTCTCCTTTTGAGGCAATAGGGTTTTGAAAGCAATGCTTTCCCTGTGCTGTGATACGCTGTACGCCATTATATAGTTGGCTTTAGAAAGGAAGAAACTTGCCAAATCATCATGAGTTTACCAACACAGGCATGAAATCTATGTTCCTACATTTGTTATGGCAACAGCTGTTGTGCAGGGGTTCGGGGGGGGAATGATTTAGTTCACATCATCCTATTAATAAGCATTAATTAACAAATATAATCCCAACACTTGCGACTTTCAAAGAATCTCACTTCAGTTTTCTCTCCCACTATCTGTGCAATAAAACCACTATCAGGTTTACTTATTACATCACATTATTCCATGTTGTGTTTCCAGTTATCCATTTTCGTCTGCTCAATTTTTTGAAGTAATGTTCAATATTTTACTTTTCAAAAATTGTGTTATTTAAATCTGGTGTGAAAGGAATAAAATACAACTCATAAAATAATCCAGTGCTGGTTCTATAAGGTTGCAAAGTGAAAAAGTCTGGTCTGTAACCTGGTATAGGAATAAAAACTGAAGTACAAAAATTATTTTTTAAATGTCATACAAACGGTATTGTAATTCAACTCCCAAGTGTCTTATCTTTGTAATTGGACTATTTGTCTCTTCTGTTATTAGAGGTACAGACAATAAATCAAACTGAATGGATCTACCCTCAAGCAGTTAAAATGGGATTTGGGACTGGTGACAGGTGGTGCTCAGCAGAGGGCCTCCTATACTGCAACTTTTTTTTTCTTCCTTCTCCTCCTCCTATTAGCCAGTTTTGTCAGACTATCATGACCTTCTGGGCATGCTACAAGAGTGATTGTGTTTCTCCCAGGCTTTTGACAGTGCAGATGAGACAGTTTTTTGTGGACTGATTTTGATGGGATAGGATCTTGATTTTTGTCCAACTGACCCTTTAGGATGTTTTTTGTTTAAAATGATATATTGTTGGATAGATTCATGTAAGAAACAAGGGAGAACTGGAATGTTTTGCTGAGAATGGGGGGGGGGGGGAGAGAGTGAGGATGAGGGAGATACAAGAAGGCCATCCAACACTACAGCAGTTGCAGAGATGGCAGCTTTCACATTACATGGGGGTGAAAGATTGTTGGTTCATCTCTCCTCTTCCCAACAGAGACTTAGCAGCAGTATAAGAGCAGAGAGGCTTTGGTTGCAGTGGAGACCTCCAATTCAGCAATCGTTGATCTGTCACAATTGTGGCTGCATTAATGGTTATCCATTTGTTGCTGGACTTATGGCAAATGTCAAACTGGCATGCAAGACAAAAAGCCTGGTTCATTAGAGAGTGTGGAGCAAGTCCACTGGGTATTACAGTTAAAAGGTTTTCTCCCTTGTAGTTTCTTGAATGGTTGGTTTGGTACTTGTAGGCACATTAGAATATTTTCAGCCTCGAGTTTATAAGATGACCAATGCAATTTATTCCTTTAGGATATGAAAATGATTCAGTGGAAGACTTAAAAGAAATGACTGCAGTATCTTGCCGAAAAAGAGGCAAACGAAGATACTTTTGGGAGTATAGCGAGCAACTGACACCATCGCAGCAAGAAAGAATGCTGAGGCCATCAGAATGGAGTCGAGATACTTTACCAAGTAACATGTATCAGAAGAACGGGCTCCATCATGGTAAGAGTAGTTTTGCAGTAGCCAGTTAGTGTCTTTGACGCTATCACCTTCAGATTCATGATGTCAGAGGCAGAATAGGTAAGGGAGCTCTTGTTTTGGTAAATGAGAAGAAATCACTGAAACAGTATAACTTTTAGTTAACTGTTAGGAATCCCTAGTGCATCCAGGGAAGAGAGATTGCATATATAATAATAACCTTCAGTATATTTTCCCTCCAGAGGGAAATGCCTAAATTGAGAATTATAATTCCTAAAGTATCTCAGTGGAAATACTAAAATGTTCCAAAATCTGTGCAATATTGCTAATATCACAAATTTAGTAACAAGCCTGATCTTTGCCCCTTGATACTGATCTAGTGTTGCTTGTAGTAGAGTTGACCAGTATGTTGTACTGAGATGCTGGAACACAGCAGGCCTCACCACCACGCACACCTCCTGCTGGACACTCTGGCTATGTCTAGACTGCAGGCTTCTTTTGAAAGATGCTCTTTCGAAAGCATCTTTCGAAAGAGCATCTTTCGAAAGATCGCGTCTAGACTGCAGGCGGATCTTTCAAAAGAAAAATCCGCTTTTTCGGAAGAGAGCACCCAGCGAGTCTGGATGCTCTCTTTCGAAGACGGCCTCTTTACATTGAAGAACGCCTTCCTTCGAAAGAGGAACTTTCGAAGGAAGGCGTTCTTCCTCGTGAAACGAGGTTTACCGCCATCGAAAGAAAAGCCGCGTTCTTTCGAAATAATTTCGAAAGAACGCGGCTTGAGTCTGGACGCAGGGGAAGTTTTTTTCGGGAAAAGGCTACTTTTCCCGAAAAAACCCCTGAGTCTGGACACGGCCTCTGGGAATTAGCTTTCTAGATCTGGAGCGCCCCTTTCAGCTGGTGCCTCGCCCACTGCTACCTATTTTTCCTCCATCTCTGTGTTACCCATGGCATTCTCCCTCTGGATAGTACCCTCAGGCCTTGCTTCAGGCTCTGCAGCTTGGGAGCTTGTCTGGCCAGAGCTTCCCCAGCTCTGCCTGCCTTTCCCCAGCCCTGCTCTACCTCAGAAAGCTTCTAGCTTCCCTGGCAGCCAGGTCCCTCCTGCTGCCCAGCTAGAGCAAGAGTGAGTCTGACTCCACCCCTCCAGGCGCCTTTATTTATACTGCCCTCAGATGGGCCCTGATTGGCTAATTCCTACCATAGCTGCTGGCCCCATAGCTCCAGCCCTCTCCCAGGGCTGGGCTTTAACCCCTTAAAGGGCCAGTGCGTGGCAGACGCCCCCTCACAGATGCCCTTTCATTCAAAAGACAACTAACCAAGTCAACAAGGTAGAGGTCTCTCTTGCCTGTCTCCTCCTCACGCACTTCTTGCACCCTTGTTGTGTCAGTTTTGGAATAATCCTCCTTTCTATAAATACTTAAAAACTTTTTGAACTTGTTACACCCTCATAGCATCTTAAAGTAATATTCTTTCCATCTACTAAATATACATCATATTTCCATTCTGTGACTTTTTTTTACAAGCCAATTTCCTGTACTATGGTCATTATGGATGCTGTAAAGGAGGGACAAACAAGCTTTGAGAATAGTTTGTTTTTCTGTTTTGTGCCCTCTGCTGGTAGTCAATTCCCTATCTGTTCATAATTCTGAAGTGACATTGAGGTTAATGTAATACACTTCCTTAGTTGTATTGTTAACATACTCCTGTACTTCCTTTGTTATTTTTAACACTAATAGTTTTCAGATCCCTTGTTTATAAAAAGTAATGTTACTTGCTGTTCTGTTTGGAGTGGAAATGTTTAAATTCAGTTAATGTGTTTGTCTGTTTAAATGTGGAAAACCTGATAAATTGCAAAAAATAGCAATATATCTTTATCACTAACAAATATGTATCTGTATATTCATTGCACTTCTGTTCATGTTTATTAGAAAGTCTTCAGTACTTTCTTCAGAGGCATGACTTGGAGGGCTGTCCTTCAAGACTTTTGTACATAGAACAACTCTTCAACACAATGAGTTCTGTATGCTGAAGGCTTGTAGAATTGAGCACTTCGTTAGCATCCAAAAGTTACAGAATTTAACATGTCATAAGGCATCAGCAGGGCTTTCGCACAAGCCATTTTAGTTATCAGTTCAGCGGGAAAGTGTCTTGGAGAGGCAGTGTTTGCCGGTATCTTTAAGTAAATTAGTACATTTGCTGTTTTAAGTAAACTCGAGGGTGAATGTGCAACAAACAGATATTCCTAAGGAATAAAGATTCTGAATTTCATGCTCTTATTCTTAGTAAAATCAAGCTGACTCTAAAAGAAATACAGGAGATATGTGAATTGCTTATGTTTTATGTACACAAGTATGTATAAAGAAATTTCATTAAAGATATTCACAAGGAGTTGACTACTCTGTTAACTGTGCTTAGATCAAGCTGTCTTTATTGTAATTCCAACCCTTAACTCCACTTCATGAAGATAATAAAACAATCCACTTCTCTATTTCTTGAGAATGTGCTGGTCTTACAAGTGAGATGAACTGAATGAGCTAGAATGGGAAGGTGTTATGGAACCTTTGCTGTTTTGTCTGTCAGGACTTGTACACAGTTCAGGGAACATGCTGCATCCCACCCACCTGCTGTTCATGCATCTCAGTCCTAACCAACAGTTTTTGCTCTTCTGGTTCTGAACAGATTGTCAGTAATACCAAATTGAGTGGTAGTTTACATTGCAAATGGTCACAGGGCTCTGATAGGTTGCACCCATGACTCCAATGATGAAAAAATAAGCACAGCTTCCTACCAAGGTAGTTTCAGAATGTTTTTCAGATGTGTGTTTCTCTGTATTCTAACAAACCTTAACTCAGTTGCCTGTGTACTTAAACAGGAAAATATGCAGTAAAGAAGTCACGGAGGACTGATGTGGAAGACCTGACTCCTAACCCCAAAAAACTTCTACAGATTGGCAATGAACTAAGGAAACTGAATAAGGTGATTAGTGACCTGACACCAGTGAGTGAACTTCCCTTAACTGCCAGACCGAGGTCCAGAAAAGAAAAGAACAAACTAGCTTCCAGGTAAACTTTAAATGGCTTTTACCTGTGTAAATTAATCCTATTGAGATTATTCCAGACAAGTGCTGTACAAGTGAGACCTCTTTGAATTTCTTATTTAGAGAGAGGCTGCTTGATTCTTCACAAGCATTGTAAGGTTAGTATTGCTTTAACAAAAAAACAACCTAACGAAAAAATAGGGTATCTGATTCACATAGAAAAAGGCAAACTTGATTGTACTTTCTTCCTATTGGAAGTAAGCCTAGCTGATAAAAGGATGGCTATTTGAGTTAAGAAACAGGAATCTGAAATTCTACTGGCACTATTTTGCATTTCTTTGTGTGTATGAATGATACCAAATATGAGCAGTTGGTTGTAAAGAATATGTGGAAGCAGATAATAAGCCATAATCTCTGGCAGCACAGAGGAAGTTAGCAATAATGAATATTCTATAGTGATTAGAGGCATATTGATTCTCTCCACTACAGGGCTTGCAGACTAAAGAAGAAAGCCCAGTATGAAGCCAACAAAGTGAAGTTATGGGGTCTCAACACAGAATATGGTAACTTTCTTTCACATACACAATTTTTCCTCTATCTTAGTACAAGCAGTTACATGTTTTGTATTTTCACATCACTAGAGTCATACCTAGCATGCTTTTTTAATGCTGAAAAAGGATATTGGTATTTAACTTGTAGGGAGTGCCGATTCCTTGCTTTGCTTATGATTAGTTGGTTGTATTGTGGTGATTTATTTTAGGCTCATTGTCATAAGTACGTAGGGAAATTCAGTTCCTGCTCAATATAGATTACCAAGTGATCTGATATTGTCTTTTTCTGTAGATAATTTGTTGTTTGTGATCAACTCTATCAAACAAGAAATTGTTAATAGAGTGCAGAGTCCTAAAGATGACAGAGGAACTAATATGGAGCAGAAGCTTGATGTACTTATTAAAGATACTCTTGGTAAGGAATAAACGTAATCAACCACATACTCCAAAACTGCTATGTAACAAGTGTTGAGTCCCTTAAGCCTAATATTTCTGTAGGAGACAAAGCACTTGCCCAAATATCACAGAACTTGAATCATTCTGTTTGGTTACTGACCAACAGGAGGAATTTTGAGAGGTTTTGTATTAAATAAAATATGGCCTTATGTGGAAATAAAAGTGTGACGTAGTGGGGGGTACCTTGCTGGTTGCTATGCTGGGCAGTGGGTTGTGAGTGACCTTCACTGGCTGCTGCCTGCAGCATGGCCCAGCAGGGCAGGGGATGAGTCATTATGCAAGGGGGGCTTTGAACCTGTCTGACGAGTTCTCCCCCAGGGAGCAGAACAATGGGAAGAAGGGGAGTGGAGCCCTGGCTGGGGGCCAGGGCTGAAAGTGAGTTAGTTAGGTTTCTGGCTGGTATCATGGAGGAAGCAGCTTAGGCAACGGGCTGGAATTTAGGGGCCCAGTCTCCCCCATCTCAAGGAGGGCTGAGGCATCCTAGGCCTGCCCTGTAACCAGATTACATCTGTTCTGTGCTGTATCCTGGAGAAGCAATAAACACCCTCTATTATACTGGCTGGTGGAGTCTGTCCATGCCATTATGGGGGTGCAGGAGATGGAAAAACCCCAACGCGCCGTCACAAAAAATGATCTTAAAGTACATCCCTCTTTCCTTTCCAGGACTACCTGTAGCTGGTCAAACATCAGAATTTGTGAACCAAGTTTTAGAGAAAACTGCAGAAGGAGACCCCACTGGTGGCCTTGTAGGGCTGCGAATACCAACGTCAAAAGTTTAACAGACATCATTTCACCTATTCCCATTTGGTCAGAGCGCTACCTGTGTTAAGTACTCCACTGTAAATTTCATTCTGGTCTGCATGTCAGTTCAGCATTCTGTAAACACAATTAGGTTCCATAGTTTTTTAATAACAATGCGGTAGGATAAGTAAACCATATGATGTAAAATGCATAATTAGCATTTTTGGAGCATAAACCATATAGTATTAAAGCTGTTTCAGGCACAAATACAGAGAGATTAGGTGTTCTTAAACCTAGAACCAGATCATACAATTTGCTTTAGAAGAAAAAACACAGTTTGTGCTAGTGAAAATTTTAGCAAAATGCCAAACATTGTGGCAGGTTTATGCTCTGAGTAAAATAAAAATTAAGAGGAAGCATTCTTTTGTAAACTGTCAAGGTTTAGTGGTGTTTTTTTTTTTTTTTTTTTTTTAAGAATTACTGCTTTTTTTCTTTCTAAAAATAAAACCAGTAAGCTTTCTTTGCACCCATTAACTTGTATATAATGCACACTGCATTAGAGCTAGTGTGCCATATAAGACTTTAATTTTTCAAGCTAAATATTCTATTTAAATGTCTGTGAAAGTAAGAGCAGAAAAAAGTATATTCTTGTGCCTTGTATTTTGGGGGGAGAGCTATAAATATAAGCTGGTAAAGTTTTTCTACAATGAAAACCCTGAGGAAAAAATAAGATGTATAGATGGTAAGATTATGGGGTTCAATGTATTTGTTCCAGCTCTTACAAATTTTTGAATGTATATAAGAATATGTTGAAAATGTAGATATATGCCACAGAGTCTATGTATTGTATAAAAGATGGCTCTAGAAAATTCAATTTCGGTACTTGGCCGGAAGAAAACAAATACTTGCACATTTGCGATTGTTTATTTTTGTACCAAAGACAAATGCAACTGATATGGCAAACTGCCAGTCTAAGTAAAGTTTTGCACAGCTTACATGATACTGTACTGAATGTAAAAAAAAAAAAAAAAAAAAAAAAAAATTATTAAAGGTCAGGGTTAGGGATCTTACTGAACTGTGAATTTTTTTGTTTGGGTCCAATTATCTACAGAAGGAGCATTCATACATAATATTATTTTGCTGTTCTTCTAGTTCGCTTCAATAGTAGATAAGTTGATGACCATCTCGAAGTCTTTACATCTTTTTTTCGCTACATTTACTGTAGGAAATTTTAATATATTTGGATTTTAGTATGCTATTGGAAAAATAGTTTTCAACTTTGAGAATCGAAAAAATATATATTTAGCTTGTTGTAGGATACTTCCACCAGACAACCAAAATAAAATTATTTTTATTGTAATATGTATATATGTAAAGAGGAAAAAAAGAGCTACAAATAATCTAATTCCTTAGTTGCCACTTTTCCAGTTGATGTATTATTATGCATGTGATGTTTCAAAGGATCAGCACAGGCTTAAAAAAACAAAATTTATAGTTTTTCTTTTATATTTTTGTACAGGTATTTCAGACTAGCTTCTTCAAACTTATATGTGATTTATTCTTAATTCAGTAGTTTCTATGATTGGGAAATACTAACACACATTAGTTCTTATTTGCTCTTCTGCTCATAAGAGTCTGCTTTGTTAGTTTCTAGAATGCAAATGAATAGCTTTATCTCTTGACGAGAAAGTCCTTTATGTCAAGGCAAGATCATTCTCTGGTTTCATGGACCCCTTTTTCCTCTTTTATTTAAATATAATGACAAAACACTGTCTACTGAGAATAGAAATACCAAATACTTTAAAATGTAGCTGCTGGAAAAATGCAAAAAAAAAAAAAAAAAAAAAGTTCATGAAGGTTTTCTTCCTGGTCCCTTTGGAGAATTTCTCTCCTTTGTGTAGTTTGTCTAAGTTTGTACTGTGATACCTTTTATGAATAGGTAGAATTATTTTTATACCTAAACCTTTTGTGTAAGAAGGTCTGAAGGTAGTAAACTAAAGATTGGAAGACAAAATGGCAGTCCTGCCACATGCTTGTAGTATGTCCACAACTTATTCTACATTTTGATATTCTGAAAAACTTAAAGGTGGAGGAAGCCAAAATACCACTACTAAATTGTCACATTTTTTCCTTTAAAACTTGGATCTAGTAAAAAAAAAAATGAACATTTGTTTAAAGAACTTACAAAACTTGAGCAGGAACTATCTGGGGTTTTTATTAGGGTTTTGGGGTTTTTTGAAGGGTGGGTGAGTGTGTGCGTGTGTGTGAGAGAGAGATGGGGGTTATATGGCAAGAGGAGAAGCACAGGTTATAGTTTCAGAATAGAACATAAATGGGTAAGATGCAATGTCATGTAAATTTAAAGTCATGGCTATACTGAGATTTGAAATAATGTTAGTCCTTTCTGGTGTTCAAACATTCTTGATGCTAGAAAGGTGCAAACGCTATATCAGAACTTTACAGATGAGGCAGTATTTCAAAAAACAGCAGTTTTACAATCAGGTAGGACTTACATGACAAATTAAACTGACAATAAGGCAGAAAAAAGCCCTTTTCTAGCTGCTCAAGAATACTGAGCTAACATTGCTTATAGCTTTTATTTTGTCTGAAAACCAGAATATGATTTTGGTCTAGCATTTCAAAAAGACTTTGAATCTAGTGGATTCCATACCCTTGCATTTCAGTGTTTTCTATGTATTATTTTAAGTTAAATAGTTAAAAGCTTTTAAATAGTAGAGCTTTTTAATGTTGACACTTTATTTTGTACCTATTTATATAAGTATGTATACCTTAGAAAAGCACTTTGTTTAAAAAGAAGAAAAAATTGCATTTTTATATGATTCCTGCCATTTTGCTGCTAACTCTGGGCTGGTCAGAATGCTGCAGCGATACTTGATCTAAATAAAACCTGGCAGTAAAATGTAGAGTAAAGTTAAGACCTTTGCAGGTTTAACTTTATCATAAAGATGACATAGGCAAGCTGTGCAGCTTTACATTTTAACCAGGGGACTCTGTGGCATTTAAACCGTCTAGAAATGGTTGTACTTTAATGCCAGTAACAATCTGCTTCCTCTCTAGTGTCATTAAAATATATACGTTTAGTGTACTCTTATCACAAACAAATCTTATAAGGGTTAAAAAATGTACATGTTCTGTTTTTTGGAAATTGTGGCATGCATTTTGGATGATCTTTAGAGAATAGCTCTCTAAAGGCTTTCAGCATTCATACATGGTATGTGGATCTTTATGAAGTCCTTGAATATTTTTGAGTGTAGGCATTGTGAATATTCACTTTAATTCTGTCATCCAAAACCAATTATACATTTTGATTTAATAAAAACTAAAAGCTCTTCCTTCTTTCTGATACACTGGATTCTCTAGACTTTGTTTTCTTTTAAAGCATGCTGTCAAACTGCTCTTGTTAAGATCTTGTAAGCCTGAATTTGGGTGCCACACTTTTTGAATCAATATGATGGACTGCTTGTTCTACTGTACCATGTATGATTCTTGTCCGTTCTTCTTTCCTTCATGCCAGATTATGATGTGGCTTTATATTGTGCCTTACTTGTACATTTAGAACTAAATGTTTTTATTTTTCATGCCCCTGAACCTGTTAAATCCTTTGACCCTTCTGAAAGCAAGATCAGAACTATGATAAAAGCATCATGAAGGAACTTCAAATGGATCTGATTTCAAATTCTCTTAACAGTCTCTTTGTATTTGTATGAAAGACAAATTTTGAATGGCCTTTGAGAGATGGGGGTGCTAGGGCTAAACAAATCAAATAAAAAATTATTTCTACTACATCCCGTCAGCTAATGCTTTCTCTGACTTTCATGAGTTTATCAAAGTTTCAGGTGTGGGATCTTATTTGTTTTAGTTTAAGTCTCCAGTTAGATGCGGATGGGCGTGATTCTCCCCTCATAGTGGTTTAAATCAAGAATAACAACATTGACATCAGTGATGCACATTGACTTAAAAGTGATACAAAAATCAGGTCCAGATATGCTCAGTTCATCAGCTTGAATTTTAAAGCTCTTTTTCCAGTCGGAAAAAAGCAGTAAAGAGCAAAATTTTTCCTTTACTTAAAAAACCTTTTTATAATCTAAAAAGGGCCAGATAATTTCTGAAATAGTGTTGACAGTTTGGGTTTCATTTTTAAAATCTATACCATAATCTGAAGTTTTGCCTTCATTTAATAAAATAGATGTTAGTTTATTCACAAAAATGTCATGAATGGATGTGCTTTTATCTTCCATAAATCTTTTTAAACATATAGCTACGGTATGTTTAAAAATGAAAATGTTTCACCTAATTATTTTGATAGGGTTGTATACAAGTTGCCTTCAGCAGAAATAGCAAATATAATTTTGTTCTTCAAACTTGCTTAGCAGTCTTCCTGAAATGGTGTTGCAGTATATCCCAATTATGTAACATGAATGTTAGTATCTTTGGCCTTGGGACCTGAATTTCAGGAATGTGTCTAATCATGTTTTTTCTTTTATTTTAAAGTTAAAGGTTTTGATTTGGTACCACTAGTTCAGTATACTACCAGATTAAAATTAGGCTTGTTCACAGAGCTGCAGTTTTGGTTTACCCTAAGGATCATGCAAAGTACATTTAAAATAGTTACTGCTGAAGTGTCTGATTATTGTTGTAACCATATAAAAGGCATTACCATGTTGAGAAAACACCACATTTCAACATTCCAGTTTGCGCTGGAGATATTTCAGTCAGTATTGCAGAGGTGGCACTCTAGAATATATTTTCTTCACCGCATCAAAATACTGATTGATACCTTGCTAATGATATTTGATTTACATTTTACAGTAGGCCATGATTTTTAATGAATCAAAGATGGGAGGGGTTGCTGAATTTTTATTCCCCTTAGCCTCTTAGACATTCATGAACTTCCACAAAGGCAAATGCAGATTATGCATTTATTAGTTGTCTTTCTTTCTGTTGAGCCAAAAATAAAGCTAGATCTGTTTAAGACAACTCTTAATTTTCTTTTTAATCGGGACAAAAACCCTAAACCATTTTTAAGCAAGCAATATATGCTGTAGTACTGTGTCAGCCTTTAAAGACTGATTGGGTTAGGAACATTGGTGAGTCAGACATCTGGATAAGCCAAACTTGGGTGTGTGGAGTGGCTAGAGTAAGAATAACTCTTGTCTTGGGCTTCGCAATTACAAATGCATCTTTTACCCCAATACTTCCTCTTTTTTTTTTCCTTTCTCTCCTTAAAACCAAACAAAGTAGTGCTATTAATGTAGCTGCTTTTTAAACCTTCCTTAGAACACTATATTCTGCTAACTGCATTTTTGTTGACTGAATCACCTTTTTCAGGCAACTTTATCTTTCTAAAAGATATCTCGTAGCTCAGTAATTGTGGATAAGAATGAACTCTAAGGCTAATGGCACATGGTGGACTTAGTGAACTGATTGAAAGGCAAAAATTAAAATAATTTTAACAAAACGTGGCAACCTGCTCTGCTTGTGCTCAGGGTCATGTTTGTAATGCTGTCCTCAATACTTTGTAGTCAATTTCCAACTGGAGCGCCGAAAAATAGTACTGAAAGTCTCGTGTCTCTGTCAGAAAATAATTTTACCTTGTTAAAAGCATGATCTGTTAAGAGTTGCAATGTTGAATGTTGGTTAATAGTTGTGCAGTTTTCTTTATAAAGAGGCACAATTAAAATATTATTTTTTGTCAACTCTTGTCACCCTGAAGCCCTAGCACTTCTATTCAGATACAAACTCATCAATGTATGCAACATCCTTTGTAATTTAAAATAAAAAATTGTGGAGAAAAAATAGTTCTCAAATTCTTATGCTTCCTGTATGAGGTGTTCTCTCCTGCAGTGCAGCAGCTGAGTGCTACTTCTGGAGTTCTCAGGTAAAATTATTTGGGATCCCCTTGTAGAATGTGTACTGACATTGCAGGAAACATGAAGCCCATTTTTCCTCACAGAAGTGGGACATCACAGTGATCAACAGGGTAAGCGCCTCCTCTTACCCCCACATTGTGCTTTGATGTTCCTCTTGGAGGGGCCATTAAATTATCCAAATGTCTAGTAATGTCTGTCTCTGCAGTTCTCTAATTAAGGGTGGGAACATAAAGTTGGTTGCGACCCTGATTGAATGGGGTTGCCAGGGCTGGAGTTAGACTTTCTCAGGCCCAGAGCTTAGGGTACAGGCCTCTTTGAACGGGGCTGAAGCCCTTGGCTTTTGCTTTGAGCCCCTCACCCAGGGCAGCAGGGCATTTGGTCCTCCTCCTGGGTATGTGTATATTTTTATTGTCAGAAGAGGGTTGCAGTGCAATGAGATTTAAGAACTCTTGCTCTATCCCAGGAGTGGGCAATTTTTGAGGGGAGGGCACTCCAAGATTTGGTAAGTGGTCAAGGGCTGAACTCTTCTATGTTAATGGAGAAGGTGCAGGGTCTGGGATGGAGGATGGGGAAGGGGATTGGAGAGCGGGGGAGGAGGGGAGTTGTTGTGAGCTGGGGCAGATGATTGGAGTGCAGGGTCAAGGAAGGGGTTTGGTCCAGAAGGGGATTTTGACATGGAGGAGGGGTGTAGAAGGAGGTGAGGGGCTAGGAGTGAGCTGTGACCAGGAGCAGGTATGCAGGTCAGGGTGCAGAGGGTTTAGATTGTGACCTGGGTTAGGGAGCTGGGATGTGGGAGGGGGTGGAGTACCAGGTGTAGGCTCTGGCAGGGAAGCACTTACCCTAGGTGGCTCCCAGCCAGCTGTCCAGTGGGACCCTCGGGCAGGTTCCCTGCTTGCTGTGTCCCCACACGCTGCTTAAAGTGGCTGGCTGCTGGGGCCAGTGTGTGTGTCTCTGTGACATGTCATTGGGAGACAGGGGCTCCATGCAATACCTGCACTGGCAAGCACAGCCAATGGGAGCAGCAAGGATTGTGCTTGGAGTGGTACAGTGCATAGAGGATATTTTGTCCCTCCCCCCACCCCCCCCACACACACAGTCTTCCCCAAAGAGGTATGTGCCGCGTGGGAAGACCCACACTAGCCCCAGCAGCTGGCTGCTTTGAGCAACATGTGGGAACACGGCAAGCAGGGAGCCTGTCTAAGGGTCCCACTGGCCCTCAGGACATTGGGAGCCAGAGTATTGTGGTGGACCTGATCCAAATGTTTGGCAGGCTGCATTTTACTTGCCTCTGTGCTATCCCGGTTCAGTTCTTGGCATCATAAAAGCAACTAAACATTAAAAAGGCCGTAGAGCAGTTTTTAAACTAAGTGATGGGGGAAAGCCGATTGGTGCGGAGATGCACGTAAATCGGAGGGAGACTTCTCTTAGAGGAGAATCCATTGATAGAGATTCTCTAAGCTGTAGTCAGAAAGAGAGGAGGGGAGAGGACAAACCATGGGCCAGAGCAGACAAACAACCGCATTTTAAGGAATCCAATGCATCAGGGAAGGTCAGACAAATAAGCAGTGGCAAATTTTTAAAGTGCTTTTACACAAATGCTAGGAGTCTGACGAATAAGATGGGTGAACTGGAGTACCTCGTATTAAATGAGGAGATTGACATAATAGGCATCACTGAAACCTGGTGGAATGAGGAAAATCTGTGGGACACAATCATACGGGATTATAAAATATATAGAAAGGATAGAGCAGGCTGGATGGGTGGCGGAGTGGCACTGTATGTGAAAGATAATGTAGAATCAAATGAAATAAAAATATTAAATGAATCAACATGTTCCATAGAATCGCTATGGATAGAAATTCCATGCTCCAATAATAAGAAATTAGCAGTAGGGATATATTACCGACCACCTGACCAGGACAGCGATACTGACATTGAAATGCTGAGGGAGATTAGAGAGGCTACCAAAATAAAGAACTCTATAATAATGGGGGATTTTAATTACCCCCATATTGACATGTCACCTCAGGAAGAGAAGTGGAGATAAAATTTCTCAATGGCTTAAATGACTGCTTCTTGGAGCAGCTAGTGAAGGAACCCACAAGGGGAGAGGCAATTCTCCATTTAGTCCTGAGTGGAGTGCAGGATCAGGTCCAGGATATAACCGTTACAGGACCGCTTGGGAATAGTGACCATAATATAATAACATTCAACATTCCTGTGGTGGGAAGAACACCTCAGCAGTCCAGCACCCTGGCATTTAATTTCAAAAAGGGGAATTACACAAAAATGAGGAGGTTAGTTAAACAGAAATTAAAAGGCACAGTGACTAGAGCCAAATCCCTGAAAGCTGCATGGAAACTTTTTAAAGACACCATAATAGAGGCCCAACTTAAATGTATACCCCAAATTAAAAAACATAGCAAGAGACCTAAAAAAGAGTCACCGTGGCTTAACCACCATGTAAAAGAAGCAGTGAGGGACAAAAAGGTATCTTTTAAGAAGTGGAAGTCCAATCCTAGTGAGATAAATAGAAAGGAACATAAACACTGTCAAATCAAGTGTAAACATGTAATAAGAAAAGCAAAAAAAGATTTTGAGGAACAGCTAGCCAAAAACTCAAAAAGAAATAACAAAATGTTTTTTAAGTACATTAGAAGCAGGAAGCCTGCTAAAAAACCTGTGGGTCCCCTAGATGATCAAGCTATAAAAGGAGCAATCAAGGACGATAAAGCCATTGCGGAGAAACTAAATGATTTCTTTGCTTCAGTCTTCACGGCTGAGGACATTGGGGAGATTCCTGAATCTGCACCGTCCTTTGTGGGTGATGAATCTGAGGAACTGTCCCGGATTGAAGTGTCATTAGAGGAGGTTTTGGAACAAATAGAAAAACTTAATGTTAACAAATCTCCG